AGTAATTGTGTGGTACACAAGCGTTGTTGCGCAAAACATCTCGACCATTCCTTATTTTTTATATGACATATATTTACCAACGAATATATCATTGATTTCCTCTACATCGAGACACATTCGTTCAGCTGACATCACCCGACCCCTGTCTGCTTCAACTAATAGTGATGCACACAATCCTGATTAGGATTTGTTTGCAAACTGGAACACTGGACGTGGAAATTAATGTGTTACGGTAAATGCTCCGTTTGTCGCTGAATATTGCTGGCTTGATTGATTCACGGGCGGTGCGCATGGATGTCAGTGAGTGAGTTAAATGTGAAACCGCATTGAACTCATGAACTATTCATTTCAGTGCAAATGCTGTTTGACAAATTATTCCAGATGCTCAGATGTTGTACCACGCGGGAGAATACTTTTCGCCCAAATACACCGTCGCTCCTCTTAAGTCTGACTGACTGAGTTTAGTTTTACGCCGCTTTTAGCAATATTCCAGCAACATCACGGCGGGGGACACCAGAAATGGGCTTCACACAATGTACCCATGTGGGGATTCGAACCCGGGTCTTCGGCGTGACGAGCCAACGCTTTAACCACTAGGCTACCCCACCGCCCCTCCTCTTAAGTAGGTGTTTAAATAATATCAGTATTAATGGAAAATGAATACTTGAGTATTTCATATGACATAGGCTATGTTTTATGGCAATGATATATTCCTTTATAACTTTGTACGCGTGTTTGGAGTATATATGTTACTTGCCTTATGTCGTTAGATAGACAAACATACAGTCTCTGAAATGAACATATTTTACACAAAAAACTGTTCATAAAAATATTAATCTAAGGAGCCCAGAGACTTTCTTCATCCTGAAACTGTGGAAATCTAGACTTGCCACATATTCTAGACTTGCATGGGCTTTCTTTGATATATTTGTTTCAGGGTCTGTATGACAAAGTCGTTCAAGCTATATATCTATAACGTCGCAGTTTACTTTTACTTGTAAGGAAATTAACCTGCGAAGATCCGGGTTAGAATTGATCTTCAACCAGCCATGCATGTTGTAAGAGGCGACTAACGGAGTCAGGTGGCCAAGCTCGTCGACTTGCGTGATGCATGTCTTCATATCCCAGTAGCGTAGATCAATGCTTAAGATGTCAATCACTGGATTGTCTGTACATATATGCATATAGCTGGAACAAGCAGCGTTAAACAACACACTTGTAATGAGACATGACTGACTGACTGAGTTTGGTTTGACGCCGCTTTTAGCAATATTCCAGCAATATCACGGCGGGGGACACCAGAAATGGGCTTCACACAATGTACCCATGTGGGGATTCGAACCCGGGTCTTCGGCGTGACGAGCCAACGCTTTAACCACTAGGCTACCCCACCGCCCAAATGAGACATGAGAAAGTTACCGCTAATGATTTCTCCCCATCTTATACTTGAATATCACTAATACAAAAACTAAGCACTTCAGCTTCGAAGGGAATATTTTGAAGGTTCCGATAGATATCTGGCGTTGTTGCCTATACACTTCCGTTGTTACAAGGGAAGGTAAACAGATCGAGAGTAATCATTTCCGATTGTCGTATGTGTGCTCCCCAGATTTAAGCTGGTTTTGTAGTGCTAGCTTACTGAGATACATTGCCACAGCTAAGCATGAATACCCCACTCAGACACATTATACTGACTCCGAGCCGACCAGTCCTTGTTGTACCCATTAATGCCGAGAGCCAGGCGGGGACCAACAAGTACCATATTTTAAAGGTAAACAGATCGAGAGTAATAATTTCCGATTGTCGTACGTGTGCTCTTTTTGCGATTATCAGTGTTGATTAGTTGGTTGCAGCGACACAGCACAATACCACCTGTTGAGCTTGTTGAGGACCATTGGAGTCAGTTCATATCTGTGTCGGTGGGGTAGCCTAGTGGTTAAAGCGTTGGCTCGTCATGCCGAAGACCCGGGTTCGAATTCCCACATGGGTACAATGTGTGAAGCCCATTTCTGGTGTCCCCCGCCGTGATGTTGCTGGAATATTGCTAAAAGCGGCGTAAACCAAAACTCAGTCAGTCAGTCAGTCAGTCAGTCAGTCAGTTCATATCTTTATGGCACCACATGCCATAAACCCATATACAAATGAGTTACATACTACAGTTAACATATCGTATCCAATTTAGGGCATCAATTCATTTTCTGACAAAATGCAAGACGAATAAATAGGACTACTCGATGTTGTTTTGAAGATTCCTTGTAGGAAAGATGTGTGAGTGTGGTTTTACGCCACTTGTAGCAATATTCCAGCTATATCACGGCAGGGGACAACAGAATTGGGCTTCACACATTGTACCTGGGACTTCGACGTGGAAAGAAAGTAAGGAGGAGAGTATTTTAACACTGACTCGAGATAAGGGCCATTTTGGAAAATACTTCTTTCTTTGGTTAACATAATATAGGACAAATGAACGTGTAAAGATATTCATATTCGATAAGGTTGCGCAATGGACAGAACCTTTGGTGCTTTTTCACTTGATAGATATCTATGGTTAATTGCTTAATCACTAAGGCATAGGATACAGGATATTACTATAACATTCATCACAAATAGCCGCTGTTAGGTCATAAGAAAAATATTTTTGTGTCATAGACGATTTCTTCTCATTTCACAGAAATCTCTCTTTTGGGCTCCACAAATGTGGTTTGTCTGTCTCACATTCTGATGCCTCTTTCGTTCTCACATATCAAAACTGGATTTTTCTCCACCATACGGGGCCACAGGTTCCCCAGTAGCCTGAGGCGGCACAACTCGTTCTGAAGATCTGTGTTCGAATCCCGGGTTGTCTTGTTTCTAGGTTGGTCAGCGCCTCTGAAACGACAGGCGTGAGATACTGTTAAAAGCTTCGCTAAACACAACCAACTCACTCACTCAACATCATTCCCTACTCAGAGAAGCTGTATAGTGAGTCTCACAGTCCCCGAACCACATTAGTTTCCCTACGGCCCAGGACCTGTGAAGATCCGGGTTAGAATTGGTCTTCAGCAACCCATGCATGTCGTAAGAGGCGAGTAACGGGATCGGGTGGTCAGTCACATGTCACCGTGGCCCAATTGCGTAGATTGATGCTCATGTTGTTGATCACTGGATTGTCTGGTCCAGACTCGATTATTTACAGACCGCCGCCATATAGCTGAAGTATTGCTGAGTCGGCGTAAAACTGAACTCACTCACTCACTACAGATATGGCAACTATAACACTGTTGTGTTCTAGTAGTCACGGTCCTTGAATCATATTTCTTTTTTTCCCACCCAGTGCGGCGTTAAACAACAACCAACCTACTGCCCAGCACTCCCTGCAATGCTAAAGCTCTTAATGAAGCAAGTCTAGATTTCCTCAGACTCTGAATCTCCCATCTCACTGGGTTTTTTTCACAATTTAAATGGGTTTATTTGTCACTATCATAAAATTATATATACATGTATTCAGAGACTAAGCCTGAGTCCAAGAAGCTGTATACTTACACCACTTTAATCTTTGGTCAGTATTTCCTTCAGTGATTCCTATACAGACACGCGATCATAACTTGCTTCATGGTTACAATAGACACTGGAAGACATAATTAAATCATGCACATATCGTCATTACTACAATAAACAATTAAATCATGCACACATCGTCATTACTACAATAAACGAACTTGGCATCACATCTTCACAATGTTCACGCCAATGACGTCGCGTGGTTTTGTGGCTTTGAAAAAAGCTTGCATAAGCGGATCCCGAAGGTGGGGTTGCAACATCCCCCCCCCCCCTCCCCCTTGACCTGAGCGTGCACCCCACCTTTCTCAAAGAGCTGTATCAACCCCTGTGTAGTCACGTGACCTTTTAGCTATATTCATGACCCAAACCATGGTTGGTTGGTTTGTTGTTTAACGTCACGCTCAGCAATATTCCAGCTATCTGTTAATAATGGAGTTTGGATCACAATCCAGTGATCAACAGCATGAGCATCGATCTAGATCGCGCAAATGTGAAACCATTCGTGGACGGAATGCATGAACTTGACCATGGCGCCCTGTCGCTCATTCGTTACATATTTCACGTTTCCGCGTTTCTTCTTGTGGAGAAATAAACATTTTGGAAACCGGAACAATGCCAAAGTAGGTCATTGAAGCCATCGTAACACGACCCAGAAAAAAACAGAATTATATGAAAATTGCATATTCTGAAACTGAAAAAGGGAAATGGCTGCTTGAACAGGAGGAGAGGGTCAAGTGGAGAGTTCGCTAGTCACGTCCAAGGAGTGAGTGAGTATGGTTTTATGCCGCTTTTAGCAATAATGAAGCAACCTGACATCGGGGGACTTCAGAAAAGGCTTCACACATTGTACCCATTTGTGAAATCAAACTCGGGTCTTCGGGGTGACGAGCAACGCTTGAACCGCTAGGCTACCGCACCTCCTCTGTAGGTCCGAGAGGAGCAGATGATTCTAAACGACAGAACCCGAACCGCGTGTCACGGTCATTACAAAACTACCAAACAATTATTACGGCGTTGAAAATTCAACATTTTGTAAGTTGTAACAATAGGAATTCCCCAAACAATTATTACGGCGTTGAAAATTCAACATTTTGTAAGTCGTAACAATAGGAATTCCCCAAACAATTATTACGGCGTTGAAAATTCAACATTTTGTAAGAGTAGCCGATTTATTAGTGAGTGAGTGAGTAGGTATGGTTTTTACGTCACTTTTAGCAATATTCCAGCAATATCACTGCGGGGGACACCAGAAATGGACTTCACACCGATTTATTAGTGCTCCCTGTGGAAAACAGTACGGCTGAGCTCTAAATATAAACTGTAATTCAGACGTGAGTCACTGAAATAATCAAGTAGAGAAATCTACGATGGCATTTGACAAGTCTTTGGCTCCATTCTAGGCATTGATTGTATGGTTTTAGACTAAATGAGATGAATAACGTTGTATTAAAGTATTACCTGTATTTATAAACTTCACTTGTTCAGGAGATACACGGTTGGATTTATGTTTTAATTTCTTCATCTGAGTGAAGGCTGTATTAGTGATTTAGTTACTGACAGCACACAGGTTATGACTTCTGTGAGTATCTTGAAATAATCAGCTCGTACCGGGTTGTTTTCTTTCACAGCTGTTTAAGCCTCGTGTAAACCGGCATACCGTGTTGGTATATTGTTGCCTCTCTGCTCCAAGGGTGTTACGTTTCCTCTTCTATACATAATGTGCTGATTTACTATCTCAGTATGTTTAAATGTTATCACTCTATTGGATCGATTGAACGATGTCATCTTGTGGATAAGGCCGAGAGTAAATGCAATCCCATTTGCTTGCCGAATACGTTACCATGTTTGCCAACGGCGAAACCGGCACCAGATGTAATCGAAGGGCACCAAATTAGTACATCAGCTCATATCATAATAGCTATATTTCAGTGAAAACAGAAAACATCCACTTTTACCCTTCCATGTCATGTACGTCACAATCAGTGAGTGAGTGACTATGGCTTTACGCCATTTTTAGCAATATTCGAGCAATATCACTATGGGGAACACCAGGAATGGGCTTCACACCTTGTACCGTGTAGGGAATCGAACCCAGGTCTCTGGCATGACAAATGAATGCTTTAACCACTAGGTTACCCCACTGCCCCTTCACAATGAGACTATATTTCCAGATTTTGAACAAGAGACATTCAGTACCTGCAAGATCTCACCATTTAACCGTGTTCACCTATCGACTAGAATTGTTCTCAAACTTTGAAGCAAACTTGCACTAATTTCGTTCAACATTTCCATATTGCATTTATTGTTCTTTGTACACAAAGGGACAATATTCTTTAACTTGTCCAATTGGGATTGAATTAGTGTGTATATACAGACATGCACCAATGGCTGTAGTTTGCAAAAGACATGTAGTATACTCAAACGAGGACTGGTGCCTTAGACCTGCATTATCTCTGGCATTTCTTCCTTATAAAGCTCACAGCCACCATATAGCTGGAATATTGCTCAGTGCAGCAAACCAACCAAATAATCTTACACAGCATCACTCCTGACTGCTATTTAGACAGTGAACCGGATTGTCAGTACCAAAGTTACGATGTGTCACGGTTGTTGGGATTACACTTTCTCAGTAAAGTACAGATTCTGGTCAAATGTAACATGACTTTGTGTGCTGGCGATTAGGTGCCTGACTCTGAGGATGTGGGTTCGAATCCTGGATGGGACTCAACCCCAGAAAAGTACTAGAATCTGTACTTTACTGAGAAAGTGTAATACCAAATATAACATGTTAAATCCCCATAAAACCAACAGTGGTGTGTTATTCTTGTGCTTTAATATTGTTCTGCTTATCCATTGCAGAAATGAGTTTTCGTAGAGATGACGACTGTGTCTGACAGTGATGACCAAGAATCAATTGTTACTGGTTGGTGCACACTGTTTAAACAAGGAACAGACTTTGATACATGGGGACAGCCGCTGGAGGCTACAGAAATGTACCAGAGGTAAGACACTGAGACTTAGCAGTGTTTGAATTAAACTGACTCCTGTAGTATGTTTCTGTTTACAGATTTGACTGACCTGGATCAGAGGCATTCTCTTCCCACAGAGGTTACTCCTGTCATATCTTCCTACATAACCCCTGTTCTAATACGGCCATATTTCCCGGTTCTCATAAAATCCCCTAGCGGGAAAAAATCGTAACACAAATTATCTCCCTTCATTCTGTCCAATCCAAATCACATGTTACATCGACTTAGATCCAATATGGCGGCCGCCACCATTGAGTTAGTTGATCAACGTGCGAAGGATAGATTCGGTATTTCATGTTTAACTGAAAAGCAGAAACTAGGGCAATAGAGAGTGCAGGAATCAATCGACAAGATGTTTTTGTTGATGTGACATACAAGACATTTAATGGCCAACATGTCCGTTGTCAACAAGGGCGATGGAGACGCCTTTGATCCACCATTACATGACTGGGTTCTTTCTATAAGAAACGTATGCGCATCGTGCTGGGGAAGAGGTACTAGTTTTCCCGAAGCATATGGAAATTATCGAGGCTTTGCGAATGATCACTTTTGAAACAACGTCGCTGACTGCACAACTAACTCTGATTGCAACCAATCACGAATCCAGAACACTCTCACAATGATAGGGCCATATTAGAACAGAGGTTACGTAGGAAGATATGAAGAGTAACCTCTGTGGGAAGAGAATGGGTCAGAGGCAGCAATCAGAAAAAAAACAAAAAAATAATAGCTCATCTTTTAATGGATTACAAACATAAAAATCATACAAAGATTTTACAAATCAAAGTAACTTTGTAAAGTAAAGAGTTGCTTAGGGTTGACTTGATTTGACCAAGTTTTGGGGCGGCTGGGTGGCCTAGTGGTTAAAGCGTTTGCTCATCACGCCAAAGACACAGGTTCGATTCCCCACATGGGTACAATGTTTGAAGCCCATTTTTCGTATCCTCTGCTGTGATATTGCTGGAATATTGCTAAAAGCAGCGTAAAACCATACTCACTCACTCACTCACTTCAAAGTTTTGTTTTACAGCTTATCCAAGCAGCTGCACCACTGTTCCATGAGTGACAATGGTATTTTCACAGATAAACAAAAGGTACTGTTTATATATTCCACAATTACTATAAAGCACAGAAACCGATGTTTGATTATCACATCTGGAAACAGCTGTTCAGAACCCATGTTTCACATTCTGAAGAAAATTGGACCTTTCTGCACGTTTTTGTTCAAGATGAGTTCAAATAACCACTGCATCAGATCTAAACAAGAAGTCTGTAATTATTAAGAAATGTATCAAATAGAAATAAAAGAAACTGTCCCAAACAATATCTATTGTTACTAGAAACATTCGTGTTGTTTTAGGTTTTCATGAGGGTGATGACCCTTTTTGACTTGACCATTGTTTACATCCATATGTCTGTTTTTCATTTCTTCTTTTTTGTGGCTGTATTTGATTGTGATGTGCTCATACTCATTTATTTCATGCATATTCACACCACTACTAAAATTGAGGTCCATTTCTAATTTGTTTGTCCAGCTTACACTTTATCATTTTCTGATTTTCAGAAATTCTTGGAAAAAATTAGAGTTTGCCTGGATTCACGTTCAAAATTTCTTCAGGTAAGAGACCGAAAGATTAATCTTAATCTTTAATAGTCAGTTGATTGTGTAGACTAGGCCTGGCCTTTTTTGGTAGTAATATTTCTCAGTTTTAAGGTGTCTCAATCTGTTTATGTCAGGAGAGCCACTGAGAAAATGGGTTGTCAATCACAGGCTGCCATGATATGGCATGAATATTACTGACTACAGTGTTCAACAAAATTCATATATTTAGTTTATGTAAACAGTAATGAGTGATTTCCAAACTGATTTGATAACATCTTTATTTGCAGGACCGTGTATCAAAGGAGGGCATATCCTTGGAAGATCTCCTGAAACTAGAGTCAAGTAAGACACTCACTAAAAATCTTTTGTAGTTCTTTAGTCACATTAAAATCAAGCACCAGTTCTGGAGTCTCAACCCAAATTCATAATGGTTAAGATATTTATTGGAGTAGTAGAATATTGGGATATGATGATATGTGTCAACAGAGTCAGCGAGCCTGACCACTCGATCCCGTTAGTCGCCTCTTAACGACAAGCATGGGTTACTGAAGTCGCATGGGTTACTGACGATCCCAGATCTTCATGGGTCCAGAAAATATGTACTGGGGTACATTGGTTTAACCTAAACTACCTCCTAGCACCTGATGTAACCAGTATATTTCTGTAACAGCTTACACTCCCTGACTGTCAAGTTCAGTTATTTTACTGCCATCTTAGCTCCGAGATGAATATATGAAATTTGTTTCCAGCTCTGAAGAACCTTTGTCTGAAACCAAGTGAGAATTTTCCAGTAGATGTGCGAGCAGCTCAGCTCCAGACTCGGAAGTATCCAAACAGGTAGATATTACAGTGCAGTCATGTTCATATTATGCCCTTACCTTTTATAACTTTTTAGGCGCAGTGGGGTAGCCTAGTGGTTAAAACATTCGCCCTCGTCAATGCTCATTGTTCTTAGATCTGACAAAGCCAGCATATGTATCCATTTCCAGATCCAAAGGTTGAATCTGTCCTTCTGTCCATCAGATTTGAATTCTGAAACAGAATGTAAAAGTATGATTGAGACTAGTAACTAAGCTTTCCTTACAGTTTTATCCCCGCGCAACACGTTTTGGCACATAGATATTAAATGGACTCCCTTCTGTGTGTGCGTGTGTCCGTCATTTTTGTCCATGTGCACATTTGTCTTTTCCGGAGGTAGTGAACTCTAAAAACCGTTCACTATTTCTTCACCAAACTTGGCACATAGATTGGTCTGGTGGTGTACTGGGGCCTTTTGGTAGTTTTGGAATTCTGAATAAAATATTTTTGGCGTTTCCATGGCAACAAGTTTGACAGCCTGAAATCGATGGTAGTGCTCTTTCGAGACAGAACTCTAAAACCGTTCACTATTTCTTCACCAAACTTGGCACATAGATAGATCTGGTGGTGTACTAGTGCCTTTTGGTAGTTTTGGATTTCTGAATATTTAAAACATTCGCTCGTCAGTGGTCATTGTTCTTAGATCTGACAAAGCCAGCATATGTATCCATTTCCAGATCCAAAGGTTGAATCAGAATGTAAAAGTATGATTGAGACTAGTAACTAATAAGCTTTCTTTACAGTTTTTATTAAAATCTAAAAGCCGTTCACTATTCCTTCACCAAACTTGGCACATAGATAGATCTGGTGGTGTACTGGGGCCTTTTGGTAGTTTTGGAATTCTGAATAAAATATTTTTGGCTTTTCCGTTGGCAACAAGTTTGACTTAGCCTGAAATTGGTGGTAGTGCTCTTTTCGAGAGCTGAACTCTAAAACCGTTCACTATTTCTTCACCAAACTTGGCACATAGATTAGATCTGGTGGTGTACTGGTGCCTTTTGGTAGTTTTGGAATTCTGAATAAAATATTTTTGGCGTTTCCATGGCAACAAGTTTGACAGCCTGAAATTGGTGGTAGTGCTCTTTTCGAGCAGAACTCTAAAACCGTTCGCTATTTCTTCACCAAACTTGGCACATAGATAGATCTGGTTGTCTACTGGTGCCTTTTGGTAGTTTTGGAATTCTGAATAAAATATTTTTGGCGTTTCAATGGCAACAAGTTTGACAGCCTGAAATTGATGGTAGTGCTCTTTTCCGGAGCTGAACTCTAAAACCGTTCGCTATTTCTTCACCAAACTTGGCACATACCGATAGATAGATCTGGTGGTGTACTAGTGCCTTTTGGTAGTTTTGGATTTCTGAATATTTAAAACATTCGCTCGTCAGTGGTCATTGTTCTTAGATCTGACAAAGCCAGCATATGTATCCATTTCCAGATCCAAAGGTTGAATCAGAATGTAAAAGTATGATTGAGACTAGTAACTAATAAGCTTTCTTTACAGTTTTTATTAAAATCTAAAAGCCGTTCACTATTCCTTCACCAAACTTGGCACATAGATAGATCTGGTGGTGTACTGGTGCCTTTTGGTAGTTTTGGAATTCTGAATAAAATATTTTTGGCTTTTCCGTGGCAACAAGTTTGACTTAGCCTGAAATTGGTGGTAGTGCTCTTTTCCGGAGCTGAACTCTAAAACCGTTCACTATTTCTTCACCAAACTTGGCACATAGATAGATCTGGTGGTGTACTAGTGCCTTTGGTAGTTTTGGATTTCTTGAATAAAATATTTTTGGCTTTTCCGTGGCAACAAGTTTGACTTAGCCTGAAATTGGTGGTAGTGCTCTTTTCCGGAGCTGAACTCTAAAACCGTTCACTATTTCTTCACCAAACTTGACACATAGATTGGTCTGGTGGTGTACTGGTTCCTTTTTGATAGTTTTGGAATTCTGAATTAAATATTTTTGGCGTTTCCATGGCAACAATTTTGACTAAAACAGAAATTGGTGGTAGTGCTCTTTTCCGGAGCAGAACTTTAAAAACCTTTCAATACTCTCCTTCCACTTTTCTATATACAGACCTAAATATTTGACATAATCATAACTCGTAGACATAACCATGAATGGTATTTTGCCATTGCGGGGGATATTGATGACTTTGTCTTCTTGTTTTACTATTGTGTTTAAAAAAATTGTGTAGCTCACCTTGGCACACCCCACATGTTTGTCTGGAAAACTTCTTTACTCATGAAATACATAATGCCATTTTAGAAAGTGGTCAAATGTAACATATGATATATTTGGGATTACACTTTCTCAGTAAAGTACAGATTCTAGTACTTCTTTACTCATGCAAAAGGGAACATTCCTCAGTTATCTCCCTTTACCACTTCGCCAACAGATGGCGCCAATCACTACGGTCCTAAGTTCACTTCCGGTATATAAATGCTGGACATATAAAAGCTGCTGAAACATAGCATTTCTTTAGGGTAGACTAATTGTTAAAGCCTTCTCTCGTCACGCCGATAACCCGGGTTCAATTCCCCACATGGGTACAATCTGTGAAGCCCATTTCAGGTGTCCCCTGCCGTGATATTGCTGGAATATTGCTAAAAGCAGCATAAAACCAAACTCACTCACTCACTCACTCACTTTACACAAAGATCAACCAGAATAGTCATGTATTTGACTATTCCATAGTCACCTTTTGTTATTTGTCACAAGTGGGGTTCGGTATTGCAAATTAAACTTCTCAATACAATATATTGCTGTACACTCTTTGTGAACCGGTTCACCCGATACGATCAGCAATTTCCGTGACTATGATCGGTAATTTTAGTGATGTAAAAAATACCAATAACATTTGTATTTCCTTTATATTATTATACAATAATAGTTTTGAGAATGTTTATTGACCATATGATTGCATTTGCATGACTTTAAACCATATAATTAAAAAAAATAGATTGGTACCGACACTCGTTGTATTCATAAACAAACCAAAATGGCAGATGCCACTGCAGACGCTTTTTCGCCAGTTCAAAACTTTAGAGCTGAAGTCTTCATTTTCAATTGATCTCTTGTACAATCTTATCTGAGTCATGACATTGACCAGTGGCATTGTTTCAAAAGAAAGGAATTTCATTACCTTAACCCATGTGTTACACTTTCACAATATATTGCAATACATACTGCAATACGCCAACACCTGTCACAATATATCACAATACGAAAATTTTGGCAATACCCAACCCTAATCACAAGACGTACAATTACTTGACGGATGACAGCTTGGCAGGGAAATTATTCATCTAGATTTTATTCATCTAAATTTTGCTCATCATGTTGACCACTTGTTTGGTTCTGTCAACAGCATTAAACCTGCTGCTTACTCTTTCTTTACTCTACTGTCTTGATTTAGTTTGTTTTGTAATGTTATATAACATTACTTCACAATCAAGAAATTGTTTGTTGATGTTCAATTTGTTGTTTTTTTGTCCACAGTCTCCACACTTCCAATGATGAAGACAAGCCATCACAAAGAGGTATTATCTTTAAAGCACATCTGTCATTTCATTTAAAGGGAGTCTGTAATTTTAAATCTGTGATTATTGTTTGAGGTTTCTCCCTATTTTACAAGGTGAAAGTGTATATAGTTTATGAAAGACATGTTGAAGTAGCTGGGATACCTGCTTATTATTGAAATGTCCATGTATGGACCATCCACGGTACATAAATGATTCAGTAGGGACTGATTGGTTTCATTTCTCATGATGTTAATTTCAAAATTTATTTTCTATGAAGAATTCTGAAAACAGAGGATATAATATTCTTTTTTTGTCTGTAAATATCTTCTCCCTCAAAGTTGTGAGAAATATACTTATTATCAAACAAATTTTAAGGGTTGAATAGGTCACCACAAATATTTGTCATCAGATGCAACTAGAATAAATTTTGTGGTCAGGATTGGTAGTTTGGTTAATTTTCATTTTCCTGGAACATGGATGTTTGCTCATAGTATTGACCTCTGGCTTGTCTGTGCTGTGTTATGAAGGAGTGGGTTTTCCTTCAGTTTTAGGCAACCTTTTACCTAAGCCTCTGCCGATAGCCAACATGCGATACCTGAGTGTCCGAGTGGAAAAGATGGGCTTGAAGGATGCTTCCCAATTCATAGATCCCTTCATCTGTGTGTCTGTCAAAGGTAACTACAGAATTACCTCCCTGTGGATATGTAGGTTAGAATGCTTTCATAAGAGGCGACTTTACTTCTTCTTGTTATCATTTATACCTTCACCAGAATTTGCTCTAACAAGGGGAAGTAACTTGGTGGTAACATGGACAGGGGATAACTAGGTCGCCAGTATCCCATGTTGACTTTTGGGGTTCCACAAAACCAAATATTTTCCCATTGACTTCTAAAGTAACATTATGTTTTTTTAGAAAAAAATGATAACTTAGCCCTCTACAGCTATTACTTGTGCCCGTGTGCATATGCAAGCCTTAAAGCAGCAAACCAGTGAAGATCCGTGTTAGAATTGATCTTCAATAACCCATGCTTGTCGTAAGAGTTGACTAATGGGACCAGGTGGTCAGGCCTGCTGACTTGGTTGACACATGTCATCGGTTCCCCATTGCATAGATCGATGCTCATGCTGTTGACCACTGGATTGTTTGGTCCAGACAATTATTTACAGACCGAATATTGCTGATTGCGGCGTTAAACAACGAACAAACCAACTAACCAACCTGTTGTGTAGGTGTTAACTGTCAGGAAAGGGTTGCAAGCATGTGTAATTAATCAAAACTCACAACATGTATTACCTGTCTGCTTCGTGTGTTATCAGTGATTGCCTTCATTTCAGATGTGAAAGGCCACAACCTAACAGCCATACAGAACACCCCAATAGCCTCGGACAAGCAGGACACATGTGTGTTCTTTAATGTAGACGTCCATATACAGAAGACGTTAGAAAGTCTGCCACCAGGTGAGATACAAGCAACACCTGAAACAGTCGTCATTGCACTTTAAGGCCCTGTTTAGTTGACTGGGGCATAAAACTGCATTAACTCACTCCAGATATCGTGAGTTATAAGTTGTCATAAGTATACATAGGTTGATCCAGAGGGGGTGCCCCCTCTCATCCTGAAAGTTTATTAAATGAGCATTGAAACTTGTGAAAAAGGGTGAAAATGAACTGTGCACCCCACCTTTCTCAAAAAGCTGTATCCGCCTCTGGTATGGTCTCACTTACTCCAGATATCAAGATTTACCAAGCAGCACATGCATACTCAGTTCCTGAAGTTATATCTGAAGTTTATGCTGAATATCTCTGTTTTAATGTGGTATCTTACATGAAATAAGGTAAAATTCATTGTTTCTCTCTTTTTTGTTGGTATTATATAAAACTGCAGCAGAAGGGTGTGTTTGTAAGGGGAGGTAACTAGGCGGTAACATGGATAGGGGAGATAACTTGGGAACATTTCTCCCCATTTTGGAATACTGACTGCCTGAGTTTGGTTTTACGCCGCTTTTAGCAATATTCCAGCAACATCACGGCGGGGGACACCAGAAATGGGTTACACACATTGTACCCATGTGGGGATTCGAACCCGGGTCTTCGGCGTGACGAGCCAACGCTTTAACCACTAGGCTACCCAACCGCCCCCATTTTGGAATAGGCAAATGTGGTGTTTACTTTTATTGTGTCTGCATCGTAGCTTTCAAGGACTGTTTCATCGCTTTATTCACAGGATTTGCTGTGTTCTTTGAATTCAAACACTTCAAACCGAAGAAGAAAACTACAAGCACAAAATGTTGGGCATTTCTTGAGCAGGATGAAATCAAAGAGGGACCAACTTATCTGGAGTTGTAAGTTGCATAATTTTGTCCTGTTTACTGTGTTGTGTATTGATTATTAACTTCACTTAAAGTTCAAAGGTAAAGAAGACACACTCCTACACACACTCTTACACACCCTCACACACACATTCTATCTCTCATGTGTGTGCACGCTCACACTCACACACACACTCTCATCCTCACACACGCTTTTTTACACCTCACAGACATGCCACTCATAGAGAGAGGCCGACAGCATCGAGCTTGAACACTCACCCATTCATGCATGCACGCACAGACTAACACACAGACCTATATGGCAATTCAAGTATGGTGGTGAGGTGAGGTGAAATTGGGTTTAACGTCGTGCTTGAGAATATTTCATATGACGACATGCATGCGTGTGTATGTGTATGTCTATGTGCGGCTGCTTGTACTAGCCCAGACTGAAGCTGGTTTTATAGTGCTAGCTCACTGAGATACCATGCCTCAGTGAAGCATGAATACCCCACTCAGACACATTATACTGACTCCGAGCCGACCAGGACCAACAAGTACCATATTTTAACGTCTTTTGGTATGATGCGGTTGGGGATCGAACCCACGACCTTCTGCTCTCCGGGCGGACGCTCTAACCACTACACCACGGAGGCGGTCTCAAGTATGGTGAGACCTTTATAGTTTATATCATATCCGGAATGTTTAAAGATATGTTTCACTCATGTGATTCTCTGTCTCTTACCAGATACAAGAAGCCGACAGATCCTTGCCGAAAGAAAGTCCACTTGTTGACAGTTAAACCCTTGTATCTACACTTAAAGCTGTCTCTAGATTCTTAGTAGTGATTGGTTTCATGCATGTAACCTATGTAGTGGAGTCAGTATTGGGAGATAGGAAGAAATTGTTGTACAATCGTGTATACTTTTGACAAGTTATACAATGCAAGAGTGTTCACTGATAGCAGGACTTGCTGTAGAAGTCAGAGTTAACTTGATAAGCAGATACATTGTTTGTTATCTTGATTTCCTTTAAACATGCAAGGAATGTTTCCATTTGGTCGTAGAGGACTAGAAAATACCAGACGTTACTGAATATAGTTTGCTGTTTGCCAGTCAACTTGTCCGAAGTATTTTCACACACACATCAGTCATGTTATTTCAGCATACTATCAATAGAAGCAACATATTCTGACACCTCTCTGTCCTATTAGGATGTGACGTTTTGGATTAGATCGTTATTACTTATTGAAGTATTATATCCTATGCAGTGGTATAAGATCCTATACTGAAATGTTGACACATGATGGAAGAAAGTAGTTGTCTTCCATAACGGGATCTTTCCTTTACTGTAACTCACCAACTTCTAAAATGTCCATCAAACAGACCAGCTAACTAGGACACAATTCCTGACAGGCCTATGAAAAGAAATTAAGGTCAGGGTATGAAACTCCCCAAAATTTCAGCCAGACCACAGGGCTGGTTAGATGTAAAACTTGCCAGCCCTGACCAAAACTTACCTGCCCACAAATAATTTAGGTTTGACAAGCGGTGTAGTTTATCACCAGTTGGAATTCATCATTTATTTTTATGAGTGAATTAATAATGATTTATTATCCTGAAATATGATGAATAACTTCATATACATGTCTAAATTCTAACCCAACCGTCGGGCAGGTGAATTTGAGAATCTGGCAGTCCGTGTTGAAAATAATCCCGTCCCGGCAGTGGTCGGACAGGCAGGTATTTCGAACGCTGTTAAGGTATAACCGTATAACTACCTTTATAAAGGCTAAACTGTGCAGAGAGCATACATATCTGTCTGATGTTATTTTCAGAATGGAAATGCTCTTGTTCTTATTGTATATTTTACAGCCATGGTTTTGTTTTGGGACCCATTTACATTATATGAAAGAATGTATGCTGCATGGGTTAGCTAATGCTTACGAATCAAAAGGTATACAATATATATACATGTATTTTACCTATATGCCATATTTGTTGATGCCACTGATATCGCCACGTGGGTCAGCGTTACTATTTGAATAGGTAGGCTAAGAAGTTCAGGGTAAGCTGAACCCAATGTTTTGCATTTGTACGGTTGTGCCAAAAACTTGAACTTGAATATCAAAACATTTCATTAGCAACAAAAATAGCAAACTGATCTGCATTTCACAAAGCAATCGTAGCGCTAAGGTGATCGTAACACCCATACTTTAACATAGACCTACGACAGTAGTAGCTCTAAGGTGATCGTAACACCCATACTTTAACATAGACTTACGACAGTCGTGAAGCCTAAGGTGATCGTAACACCCATACTTTAACATAGACTTTACACGTGATAGATCGTTACTTTAACATAGACTTACGACAGTCGAAGGCGCTAAGGTGATCGTAACACCCATACTTTAACATAGACTTACGACAGTCGTAGTGCTAAGGTGATGATCCATACTTTAACATAGACTTACGACAGTAATCGTAACACTACTTTAACATAGACTTACTTAAGGTGACAGTTATATGCTTTAACAATTACGCAGTTGTAGTGCTGCAATCGCTTTGTGAAAAGGGCCATGTTTTAATAAACAAGTAGTATTTTCCATTCACTTGCGGCACTAATAAAGTCTATTTTTGTACAAATGCATATGGATGAGCAGGGCTCCAGATAAATTTTCAGCATCAGGAGTAAGTACTCCTTACTGTTTCAATGCAGGAGTACTTGAAAACCTAAAGAGTACATATAGAGTACTTAATGGAATTTAATGGAGTATCAGTAATCGTGTGTTTCGTTTCATATATGCACAACAACATTGCTACTCTTGTGTAAACAGGTCAATAAACAATAAAACAATACTTTTTCAGATAAATACGTCTGTAAATGATTCTAAGACCGTACACCATTGCTGTACTGCGTATCTGCTACATTTTCTAAATTATTTCCTACTGTATCGTGCACATTTTATATCCGTACATACGCCGATACGGCCCTTATCTGGAGCCCTGGATGAGGATGTGTGGGCGACACACCTAAACCCCTATTACTTTCCTTAGTATACACAAAATGGCTTCCAGAACACTTAAAAGAGGAAGCATATGCACCTCCGTTACCATGGTGGAATGTTTTAGCTATGTCTGATTAAATTCATATCTCTAGCAACCACAGAGACTTGCATCACTGGAATGTAACTGCCATATTTGATCAGGTCATATCCATAATATTATGGGAATATGGGATAAGAGGGAATGAAAACACTAACTGTTAAGTGTGTTTTGAGTCAGTCTAAGTAAACTTAGGCTTAATATTATTTGTTGCACTGCTAAACTGAGTCTAACAAACCACAGGAGAAAGTCGCGTCAGCTAAACTTTCGAATCGACCAATCAGAACGCAATTTATAAAATTGTGAAAGTCAACATTCGCACACACCGTTTGAACTTTAACCTCGAAAACGTTTGTACTTGAACGATTCTGAATGCTATTTTCTGCACGATCGCTTCCGAGTGATAATCACGGAGTAAACCATTATTCAGAACAGCGAGTAGCGTTTTTGTCAATATTCTAGGATGTCATCTTGCAAAAGTATAAGCTAATAGTAACCATGTCATCAGAAACCCCTAAGCGTATATACTGCAGGTAAAATATCTGTGTTTTATGCAGATTGTTGAGAGATCAGTGTCAGCGACCGGGAAAGAAAAAATCCAAAATCATTTTGTAAGTCCCGCCGAACCCTAAATAGTAGCCGTTGTCTGATTGGTTCAATCCATTTGGCTGTCTTGTGTTTGATTGGACAGTCATAGGATGCTCAAAGGTTAGCTGACACGACCTTCTACTAGGGTTTGTTAGACTCAGTATAGCAGTGTAACGAATAATACTGAGCCTAAGTTTACTTAGACCTGTTTTAAGTTGATTGTGTATCTTTGGACAGCAGCGTTTACTATTGTGTTGTGTAGCAGAGAAATTGTAAACACTCGCATGGTAGCTTGTATTTTAGATAAAGTCAACTTTAATAAGTTAGTGACATGTTTTACGATTGTTCAAGCAATTGTTCATGCAATTGTCCATGCAATCATCGAGGAAACAATGGATGTTGTTAAGCATCTGGAAACCCATAACATGACGATAAAAACTTATCTAGTACATCCTTTGTGCTTGAGATCATCCACCTGGATGACAAACAGAGATAGAATATACAGAAGAGCTGGAAATGTGCTACCAATCAAATCCAGAAGACCTAAAGATCTGCAAAAGAGCACATATGACCAAAACCTCTTCAGCAACAAATTTATCTGTATAGGATTTGCTGTGATAATGATTTTTTTATATCCTTACCCATAGATTGGAGGTATTAAACAGGGTACTATGTACAGAGTAGACATAGAGTACAGAGTAAACATAGCGTACAGAGTAAACATAGTGTACAGAGTAAAGTTCGTAGCTGCGCTCTGATCTTTGATCATTAGTTTCGTAGGGCAATCCTCTATTGCTTCAGTACTTTGTTGTCAATGGGATCTACCAACAATCATGACACATCATAATTCTGGTTCTGACAATCAGGTTCACTGTCATAATAACAATCAACCATCATGCTGTGGAAGGTTACTCGATCTTAGTGAGTGAGTGAGTGAGTGAGTGAGTCAGTCAGGTTTTGTGAATGAGTGAGTGGGTTTTTTAGCTGCTTATAGCAATACTCAAGTGGTAAGATGTCAGGGGACACAAGAAATGGACTTCAGCCTGCGAATCAAACCCAGGCCTTTGGCATGAGAAGCAAATGCTTCAACCACTAGGCTACCCAAGACATATGAGTAGAAATTGATGATGTTGGTCACAGTTTGTTTGGCGGGGGGCCATATGATGAATTTGATGACTGATGTTTGAAATGACTCACACCCATTCAGACCTGCTGTTATAACGGTCTCCATTCATGTTATTGAGGATGTCTTTTGAGAGGTGCGTCAAGATTTGCATGATTTGTTGGAAAAGGTCGCTCAAATGGGCTTACCCAGCAGTGTTTACCCAGCAGTGAATGGGTACCCGGTAGATGTATTTTGACAAATGCAACTTGAGTTGCACGATTATGTACCAGTTTCTGTCAGGGTGAAGGTCATTTGTGATATTTAAGTGCTTGGGGGGACTAGTTCTTATTGGCGGTTCCCCTGCTGATCATTAATGTTGGGAATTGGTTAAAATCATAATCAATGGTTTGTCCATTACAACCAATCAATCATCGAAAAAATTGGTTAGCATCAGTTATCGAAGGTTCCTGTTATGTTTGTTAATGTGCAAACAATACAGAAAAAACATGTAGTTCTTTGGTTTCTTTTGCAAAAATGTGTTGATCACTGGATTGTCTGGTCCAGACTTGATTATATACAGACTGCTGCCATATAGCTGGAATATTGCTGAGTGCAGCGTAAAACTGAACTCACTCATTTGCAAAAATGTATTTGCAAATTTCACATCTTTAAAGGATGACTAGTATGTTAAGAACAAAAATTTCCTGGACTCTTTAAGATAAATTCAATCCTGACTTGGAATGAGCTTGTAGTGCTTTTGAAATGTGAATTTAATGACACAGACAAAAGCAACCTTGTGAAAAATATTGTTGATGCAAACAAGTGTTCCAAAATTGTTTGTGTTCAATTACGAGAAACCTTGTTCGATTGCTTGGTCGTTTAGTCAATGCGACCAATCTTTGACTATTTCAATTAATCTGACCACCACTACTGATCACTATCTAGCAAGGAAAACAAATTCACGTTGAGACCATGGGAATTTTATCCTGTCTGTTGCTCCAAGTTGATACTACTGATTTGTATGAGATTGCACCTCTACAATTCTGTGTATATAATGTATGAATGTGTATGGTTCTACTTTCATGTATAAACATATATATACACCTGGAAAAAAGTATCGCATATATAAACACCTGGAAAAAGTATAACAAAACCATGAAACAATTTGTTGGTGTATATGGCTCGCCCTAAAGCATATAACATATTATTTCACAGACTGATGCATGGTTTATATGATATGTATCTAATTACAGTCATATGGTCATCTGAATATCCGGTGGAAGCATTGTGTTTACCAAACTTATTCCATTATATTAATAATTATGTTAAATGTGAACATATTATGCCATTATTAACTTTGTGGGTAGCATGTTCTTCAAAAAAATTATAAAACGCCAACACAAATTGCCCAATCACATATTGCACTTTTCTTTAATGAAAACCTGTGTCTGTGATTGTGTTTTAGTTCAATTGCTTGTGGGTAAGAGAAAACACTAAAGTACTGTCGGAAATGCTAGAAAAATGCTTTTTGACTTATATTTAAAATTCAGAGGTATTACAGTAACTTAAATAACAAATATCACTGTAAGAAACATCTACCTAATGTAGACCGAGGGAATAAATTTTGAGACATGCCCTAAAATGTGTTTTTACTGATGAAAATACCAAAAACTTAGAAAAATAAGGGGTAGTGGGACTTTATTTGATACAAACATTAACTGCCTGTGTTACGTCATCAGCTTGCAC